ATATATATATATAATCATGCCTTTTCTGCAACATATTGGTCCTCATTCGTACTTAATAATTGCAGGCTAAATTAAAAGTCGAAGATTGGCACCATATTAATCCTGGTCCTCCCACGACTCACGATGATATACCAATTCCCTTTAAAGGATTTGAGGAAGCAAAGAAAGATTTCATGCCTACCTTCAATTTGTATTTTTATGGCTCCATAATACTTTTTGCCGTAACCTTTTATTGGGTTAGTTTACCTTAAACTTGTTTCTTTGTAACTTTTAATACTCTTTGTCTGCGAAATGTAAGAGGTTAATTTTCACGACATCTCTATCCATTGCTGCTGAATTTCAAGAATCAAATAGTTATTAACAAGGCCAAGCAGAATGACTGCCATAGTAAGCAGCAAATTTCAAAAGTTTTTGTATTATGGAGTTTCGAAATAGTGATTTTAGGTATTTTTTGTCGAAGACATCTGGCCATATAATGCTCGAGCACCAGTGAAGTCATATCGAGAACGACATAAGGGCAAAAAAGCTCCGGAATCGTCAAGTGACGATAGTTCAAATGGTAGCAAGACATCGGCAGACGCTGCTGGAGCTGGGGCAGCGCTGGCTATTGATAGTAGCGAAAAGGTCAAGAATTAGTCTGCTTTCTATTTTTTGATCACTTTTTAAAACTAGTTCTCATTTTTAGTGTGTTGTGTGTATACCTTAAGTAATTGGTCATTTCTTTTAGGTTAGCATTCTTCTCTCAGCTTTAGTCTTGCTCATGCTGCTCTGTTTTTTGTCTTATATATTTATCTTTGAACAGTTAGGAGCACTAAGAAGCTGTATCTCGTCAAATGCCGAATTCAAGTGTTTTTCTTTATATAGAAACATTGTCGAATTTTGCCCTGTCACTTATACAATCGAGTCTTTTTTTCATAGCCTAAAATTGACGTATAAGGACACTTGTCCTTTATTAGTCTTGTAGATAAATAACTGTTTGTCACGGTATTTTATCTATTTCAATATGGCGTATATAATTTCATTTTATTCCCTCAACTTGCAGTATGAAATTTAGTTCAGTTCCCTGTGCAACTTAAGCCTATGTTTCTTGTATTTCTCGCAATGTTGCCAGTAACTTTTGACTAATGTGGCTATTTTCTTTAACTCTGGGTAGCTAAGACTTGCTGAATGATCATCGATAAAGATTTGAATGTGGCTTACTGTGGTTACATTGGTATTTTCCACGAGGGGCGTGGTATGATTTTGGCCTGAATCAAATAATAAAATCTGAAGTATACTTTGATTTCATAGCCAAAACTAAAAATTTTGTTGAATTCTTGTGAGCGACGGAAACACTGGACATAACGCAGCATTCGAACTTACCTGTCATGTTATCGGTGTATTCTCCTATGCATTGGACACATTTTCTGAGATTAATTCGTAAATGAGTTAGCCTGATCTGCTAATAAAATGTAACATAGAAACATTGAGTAATTAGGATTATTTTAGGAAACAACAGACGGAAGTGCTGGTATTGAGAAAGATGTGAAGGTAAACACTTCTACTGTTTCTCCCCTAGCTTCAGTCAAAGAGAAAAAGGCAGTAGCCACTGAAGGATCTGTAATGTCGGAAGAGACGATCGCAATGGGATCCGGAAAAGAGGATGTAGTGGACCCGAAAAAACTACCCGATGAAATACCTTATTTGCTGATAGGTTCCGGTGCGGCATCGTATTATGCTGCTTTGGCAATCAGGGCTCGAGATGCGGATGCCAAAGTGCTGATAATAGGCGATGAGAAACATTTACCATACAATCGACCTCCACTATCAAAAGAATTGTGGTGGTATGGAGAAGATCAGGTTGGTTTATTCTACTACAAGTCTTAACCGTGGTTCCTAGTCTATTAGCGACTGAAGTACGTTTGGGATGATTATGTTGAAATATTTAATTGAAAATTGTAAATTCATTTAGGTGGCTGAAACTCTGGAGTATAGAGGTTACGGTGGGAAGAAACGGGATGTGTATTTTGAAGCACCGGGGTTCTTCGTAGCACCAGGTGAGATTGAGTCAGCTGAACATGGTGGTGTATCGTTAATCATTGGGCATCGGGTTGTTAAACTTGATTTGGCGACTCAAACAGCTTATCTTGATGACGGACGTTCGTTGAAGTACCAAAAGTGTCTCATTGCTACAGGTAAAAGTTTGTATTTACTTATCGTAAATCACTTTTTCAATTCTTAATTTTTTTTGTCTTACTGCAAGTAAACTCTTCATTATGGCTATCTGCTGATGGCTATATAGTCGTAAGAAACCTATACACTAAATCAAGTTTGTAAGGATAAAGTCGTAGGTTTATATCTCATCCAAGTGAACGTTTCAGGAGGCTATCCAAAATCATTACCAGTAATCGAAGATGCTAACGAGGAAATAAAGCGGCGAGTGACATTCTTCCGAACGGTTTGTTTCAATTTCACTTGATTTTTCATCATTCATAATTGGATATGGCTTTAATTTTGCTAGTTACAGATTGACGATTTCCGCAAATTGGATGAAATAGTGCGAAAGAGTAAGTCTATAACGATTATTGGTGGTAGTTTCTTGGGTTCGGAGTTAGCGAACTCATTGAATCGACGCTTTGGAAAGCAAGGATTGCAAATTTGTCAGGCAAATTTTGATGTTAAATAACAAAAATATGCTGAAGTGTAGCAGTTGCAGTAGAAGTGCAATAGAGAATGTAGTTTGTAGTTATTACTTTGTTTCCTGCATTTTATTCTTTACTTGAGCCTTTTATAACCACTTTCTCAATTTCAGATATTCCGAGAAAGAGGCAATGTTGCTGAGATTCTACCACAGTTTTTGAGCAAATATATAACCAGTGAGTTACGTAAAAGCGGTGTTAACGTTATGCCCGAAAAGGAACTTAAACGTGTAACAGTGGATGAAAGTGGTAAACTTCGCTTGCAGCTAACAACAGGAGGTACCACGACCTTTATTTCTTTTAATATGTTAAAATAAATAACAAATGATCGAGTATGTAGCGTGATAAGACACGTTTCAGCATGCTTGAAGCAAAATGGAAAGGCGATGCTATGTGTTGTAGAGGAAGTTTGATAGTGAGAACCATTGGTATATTAAGCCATGGATAAATGAAAATAAAGAGTTTAATGATCAACAGCATAGGTGTGACTTATGATCTTATTCAGCTTATAATGTTATGGATATATGCTACATTACATTACAATCTTCGTAATTATAATCACTGAGGAATGATTTTGCATTGCAGAGACTATAAACACTGATCATATCATTTTGGCAATAGGCATATGCGCAAATACGGATTTGGCAAAATCATGCGGCTTGGAAATTGATCCTGTATGCTTTTTTCTTCCTACATCTTTCTTTCTGAAGTAGAAATACCTTTTATTTCAGCTCTAAATAACAAAAATTTAATAACAATTTTCTGTGATAATTATTAGTTTTCCTAATTCCATAACAGGTGAATGGTGGTTATGTAGTTGATGCCGAACTGCGTGCTCGGTCTAACATTTGGGTTGCTGGTGATGCAAGTAGTTTTTACGATATTAAACTTGGTCGAAGAAGAATGGAACATTGGGAACATGCGCAGATAACCGGACGTCTCGCTGGTGAAAATATGACTGGAGGTATTGTTTCCCTATGCAACCTTCTATTTTCGATGTCCGTCTCTGGATTGAGTTTGAAAGTAGAATTTCTTTAAATTTGCCTTTGGATAGTTTTTCTGTTTCGTGCTATTGACTGTTAGCTCCGCCGCAAATGCTAGATTTTTTCAGCGAACAGACCGTATTGGCATCAGTCTTCATATTATTCCTTCTTAGCACCAAGTGTTCAGTTGGAAGCAGTTGGTAGGACTGATTCGGGATTGAGAACAGTGTCCGTTTTGGCAGATAGTAAAGAGAAGGTGAAGCAATTAGAGCTATTTCTATCCTGACTCCTTAGTTTGTTTATTTTTAATTTTTTTTTATATCTCTTTAATCACGTCCATTTACAAGGAAATCTTGTGAAGGAGGTTTTCTTCAATTTCGTTAATCGTTTTTTCCTGATATGTATGTGTCAGAAATGGAATAGCGTCTTTATTTTGCAACAATGTTAAATCAAATTTAAATCAAATTTTTAAATTTAAAAAAGAACTGGAAAAAGTTAAATTTATAGGCCAAGGAGATCGAAAAAGGAGTCGTATTTTATCTTGATGGTAAAGTTATCGTAGGTGTACTGTTGTTAAATGTTTCTGGTCCAGGTATTGAGATTGCACGACGGCTTATTGCAGACGGACGTGAGCATGACAATTTCAAGGAAGTAAGTTGTTTAATGTGAATTTTGCAAATGCAGAAGTCTGTTTAAGTAGGAATTGGTTTCTTTTTTAACAAAATTTAAAGCTCACTTTTCTATGATGGTCCATATTCTCAGATTCCAAACGTGTTTCGATTTTCCCATACGTCATTCCCAGCGCTCTAACACTGTAGTTTCGGTTTCGGTTTCGGTCACCATGCTGACCTCAGTTTTCAGATTTTATACATTGGCTTTAGTTGTGGACCAATTTTATTTAATAGCCAAACATTCTCTGAAAAGGGAAGCTAGCAGAAGTGAAACATTTTGTTTACGGCAGTTGTTAAATAAATAAATAAATAAATGAATAAATAAATAAACAAGTAAATAAATATAAATGTATATACATATATATATATATATATAGGAATTTTAACATTCAGCTTGCAAAACTGTTCGAGTTACATAAAAGCATAGCAAATGATGAACAAGAGCAAGAGGAATGACCGTATTAATGGAAGCCTATTTGACATATACTGAAGCTTTTTATTGCAAGTGTTTTATCACTTTGTTTCATGGTCGCACATATCTTTTATTTACGATAAATTTAAATTGTACGTTTCACTGGGGATTGTATACATAGGATTTATGTCTGTTTTGCTATTGTTTTACCTTATGATCATGTGTTCATATTCCCATATGATTGTTAGGATTGAGCTTCCATTATATGATTTGCTTTAAGGATTTCGGAACTTAATATATGCTATAAGATTTATTCTTGTATACCAACCTTAAATTAACAAATAACAATGAAAATGCCCAATCGTCTTTCCTACTGCCAGTTACTCCTTGTCAATAAAATGAATACTTCCCAAGAATTGTCGTCACTAATTTCAATTGTACTGTATTATTAAAAACAGATTATAAGTTATAAAGGTTTTATTCTATTCCTCTTTACAACAATATATTATTTTGTATTTTTATTGCCACATGTTATTTCACATCAAGCATGTTTGTTAATTTATGATATTGTCCTTCTCATCGGATATCCTGTACTTCCTCTCATGCTTTTCATACATTACAACGAATGCCACACATCACGGCATCATGCTTTTAACAGAATTCTTGACTTTTTTAATTTCTTCCAAGTCTGGTAATGATGAAGTATCCATATATCCATCTAACCCACTGTAATATGCAATAGGACACACCTGAAAATTTAGACATACGCCATATTGCATAATTACAACAAGATTAAGCAAATTAGGCTTATCGATGATGTAATTTATTGGCATAGGTTGAAGTTATGCTATGACTGATTGGTAACAGTAACTTTTTAACTGTAGTCTTTATGGAAGCGTACTGTACAGTACAGGATTACTAATTACTTCTGTTTTTCGGATATACATCGAAGAAGCACTTTATGTGTTTTCCCCATTGATCACATACAACTGATAAGTTAGCAAATGAACTTCTCTATTAAGGAAGCAAAATTGCATGCATTAATTCGCTTATTTCACAGAAAATGCTGGGGAGAGGCCTAAGAGTCTGTTCGTGTAAGTGCAGGAAATAACAAATCCAGTGATGAGAGAGAAATTGTTGTGATGTTAGTTATGCTCAGAGAAAAAAGTGCGGAAAAGCAGTCATTTTGACGGCAATCATGGTATAGTGTCGACTGTAATAGGTTGATGATGTTGATGATGATGATGATAATGGCGGTGACGGTTGTGATGGTAGTTGTGATTTGGTTGGTTGGTTATTTGGTTGGTAAATCGTGTGATTGTGACGATGGCACCCTATCCTGTTACAGGTATGGTGCTGTGTTGCTAGTCGTCTT